GTCCCAGGGCAGGCGGTCCCAGGGCAGGCGGTCCCAGGGCAGGCGGTCGGACGGAGAAGGGGACGTCGGCCAGTGTTCATCGTGCTGCGTGGTACCTCCAAGAAAGGCAGCGTGTTCCCCACGGGCACACCTAATCTGGAGAGGTGGAGGCTCCTCGGGAGGCTGGTGTCAGGAGGGGACCTGAAGGAAGGTCGGGCATTAGGTGGGGGAGGTGGCGTGACCAGGAGGGAATGAATGGGGCATTCTGGGTGGGACCTTGAGAGGCAAAGGGAGTGTGGCACCTTCATGAAGGAGGTGTGGTCAAGATTGTTCCTGTTTAGTGAGGTGCGACCTTGTTAAATTTTGTCTTTAACCTGAGGACGTTGAGTTGCCATTGAAAGGATCTGGCGGTACAGGGGCACGGCCATGTTTGTGACTGAATGCTGTTGTGCTCATGTGCAGAGAATGGTGGGGAGACTAGACAGGAGGCTGGGCAGAGTGCTGGGCAGAGACAGTGCGGCCCCAGGGTGAGATGAGCAGGTGAGCCACTCAGGAGGGCCGGGCAGCAGCTCCAGTATTTCGGAGTGAGGGTAAGAAAAGGTGGGAGTCAGGGGTAGTACCCCAGATCCTTGCTGAGCTGGGGAGGCGGAGCTTGTGCATCAGGTATGACCAGATGGAGGTGGTACCTGTGACTCAGACCAGAGAGTGGCGGTAACCGCAGGGCCCCGGGGCCAGGGCAGGAAGGTGGTGTGCAGGCAGGCAAGACCCATCAGAGAGCAACACCAAACTGCAAAGTTGTCCAGGCAAAGCCTTAACTCTGTTACACCTGCGCCCTGCCTCCCCCACTGCTCCCTGATGTGTTTTCCTTGATCATCCACCAAACGTGTGGCAGTGCCGAGTTGCTGCAGGCACTGCCCTGGGCACTGGGGAGACAGTGATGAGGGGCAGGATCGGGCATTGGATACAATGTGCAAGGAGCCCAGAGGCCCTCCAGCGGCTGACGCTCAGGAGGCCAGGGGAGTTGACACTGTGCCAGCCCTCGGTGAGTGGCAGGCAGGGGACACAGCACGAGCAACGGTTGCACTCTCGGTCAAGGAACTGAAAGGGGCCACTCGTTGGGAGGAAGGGAAGTGAGCAGAAGGTGGGGGCAGTGAAGCGGACAGGCCCCGGCCCCACGGTCCTGGGCGCTCCCCAGCACGGCTAGTCGTGGGCAGTGTGCCCCACACTGCAGGGGCCCGTGTTAAAGTGTGGCTCTGATTCAGTAGGTCCCCTGTGCTGCTGGTCCACACACAGGCCACACCTTGAGTAGCAGGACTTGAAGGGACAAATGTTTTCCACTGATCAGTTTTCCATCCCCCTTGAAGCCAGGGGCCCAGATACCGTTGATCGTAAGGGGAGAGAAAAGCCAAGAACTACCTGGCACCTGCCAAGAGGTCCTGCATCCCCGCCGTCCCTGGGTGGAGGCACGTTAGGGCTCGGTGCGCAGGGTCTTTATTGGGGGCTGGTAATGTATGCACCTCTGCCTGGCGTGTGCCCAGATTCCAGACTCCCAGGAGGAAGTGGGTGTCCGGCAGGAAGCACATTGTAGAGGTCAGGCGCAGGGAGCCCTCTTACCCGTCAGGTTCCCAGACACCAGCCGAAGGCCAGCACTGCGAGGCCTTCCAGGGAGAGCGGTCAGGCCTGCGGTCCTGCTGCACAGGACCCTCACCGGGGAGACAGTCTGCTCAAATCCAGACTCCGACATTGTTTGTCCGCCCCTGTCAGGCCTCTGCCGGGCCCTGGGTCCCTCAGGGCGTAGAACAGTCCTGCCTTCATAGAGCTGACAGTCTGTGTCGAGCCAGGAATACACAAGGATGCAGTAAAACGTGATCTTGCCGAGCTTGGGCAATGCTTGGGAGGGAGCTAATGATGTTCCAGTAGTGAATGCAGGGACCTGGACAGTCACTGTTGACCTTTAATAAGACCATCCATGGGGGACATGGGGCCACAGGGGACTAGAGGGAAACACAAATGCCTGGGGAGGAGCCTGGTCCAGGACGGCCTGCAGGGCAGAGCTTGGCTGTCAGCAGACTGCCACGGCGCCGGGCGCTAGGGTTGAGTCGGGGGCACCAGGGAAGGAAATGAAGCTGCCTCCCCAGCACCCAGTCTTGCCGCCAGGCCCCGTGGGGGTTGATGGCAAGTGCAGTGAGAGGCTTTTAAAATCCAGATAGGATGGTGGCCCATCAGCCAGCCATATACATGACTCACACTGCACACGGACTGAAAACTCATGCTGAGTGGAAGAAGCCAGTCACAAAAGACCCCGTATTATAGGATTTCATTTCTATAAAATGTCTAGAATCAGGAAATCTCTAGAGACAGAAAGCAGATTAGTGGCTGCCACGGACTGGGGAGGAGGAGAGTGGGGAGTGACTTCTTGTGGGTAAGGGGCTTCTTTTGGGTGATGGAAAGTTCTAGGACTAGACAGTTGATGGATGGACAACTTCATGAAGGTACTTAATGCCACTGAAATGTACACTTTAAACTGGTGAAATTGCACGTTTATTGTACTGTATTTTGCTGCGGGACAGGAGTGGCTCCCCTGCCCACTGGTCACAGGGGACCAGCAGTGGTGAGGGGGTGGTTTATGTGCCAAAGAGACTTCGTGGTCATTGGCCTTATGCTGTAAGGCTTCCTCAGGGTCCCTGGGATTCGGTTTTCCTCAGTAAATCTAGCTCTCAACCCTGGAGGGGTCCCTGCACCCGACTCCTGTCCTGACTGCACCCCCTTTTATCCTTCCACCCGCAGATGTTGGCTGACGATGCGGAAGCAGGCGCCGAGGACGAGAAGGAAGTTGAGGAACTGAAGAAGCAGGGCATCAACCCCCTGCCCAAACCACCCCCTGGTGTGGGCCTCCTGCCCACCCCCCCTTG